TAATAATACATCCTCTCTCTCGTTCGCCGTGGACTAGCGTAATCACCCCGATTGCGTGAACCACGTTAATTCTTGTGTTCTTGCTCTTAATTTATCGTTTATCTTTGCCTAATCGTAACAATTGGTATCAGAGCTATGGCTGACGAAGGGAAGGTTAAGATCGATAAATTTGATGGTCAAGATTTCGCTTTCTAGAAGATGCAGATCGAGGATTATCTCTACCAGAAGAAGCTTCATCAACCGTTGTCTGAGAACAAACCAGAAACGATGACGGAAGCGGAATGGAATTTGTTGGATCGACAGGCTCTTGGTGTGGTGAGGTTGTCGTTGGCGAAGAACGTTGCCTACAACATCGTCAACGAGAAGACAACGTTTGGACTGCTCAAGGCGTTATCCAACATGTATGAGAAACCCTCAGCGGCAAACAAGGTTTTCTTGATTAGACAGTTGGTGAATACAAGAATGAAGGAAGGTGCATCCGTGGCAGATCACATCAACGAGTTTAATTCAATCATATCCAGGTTAGGCTCGGTTGAGATTAAATTCGATGATGAAGTCCAAGCATTACTTTTGTTATCATCTTTGCCCGATAGTTGGTCCGGTACAGTCACAGCGGTTAGTAGTTCATCTGGAACCACTAAGCTTACCTTTGAAGGTATTCGTGACTTAATCCTTGGTGAGGATATCCGGAGGAGGAGTTCGGGGGATAGCTCCAACAGTTTGTTGAGTACTGAAGATAGGGGCAGAAAATCCACTAGAGGGGGTAACAAGAAGGGAAGATCGAAGTCGAGAAAGAGAGGGCAATCCAAGAACCGGAAGGACATCAATTGTTGGAATTGCAAAGAGAATGGACACTTCAGAAATCAGTGCCCAAAACCCCCTGCAGACAAAGGCAAGAAGGAGGTGAACATGGCAGAGGACTATGAAGATGTTCTAATTTGCAGTGTTGAGAATTCAGTTGAGTCCTGGATCATGGATTCAGGTGCGTCGTTTCATGCTTGTCATTGCAGGGATTTGATGAAAAATTTCAGGCCCTACAACGGAAGAGTTCGTTTGGCGGATGACAAATCCCTGGAGATCACGGGTATTGGGGATGTTGATCTCAGTACCACTTTGGGTACAACCTGGAGGCTGAAAGACGTGAGGTATATTCCAGACCTGAAGAAGATGTTGATCTCAGTTGGACAGCTTGATGAGGAAGGCCATAACGTTAGTTTTGGCAACAAGCAATGGAAGGTGACAAAGGGAAAGCTGGTCATTGCTCGTGGGCAGAAGCATGGTACACTGTACATGGTTGAAGTGTCCACAGATGGGGCAAACGCAGCAGTTGAAGATACAGGGGTCTCTACTTTGTGGCACCAAAGACTTGGGCACATAAGTGAGAACGGAATGAAGATGCTGTCTTCAAAGGGCAAAATCCCAGATTTGAAGAATTCAAAGTTGAGCTTTTGTGAGCCATGTGTTCTAGGCAAACAAAAGAGGGTAACCTTTGTGAAGACAGGGCAGCAACCCAAGACTGAGCGGCTGGAGTTGATTCATTCAGATGTCTACGGACCTACAAAGGTCTCTTCAATTGGAGGTTCCCGCTACTATGTTACATTCATTGATGACTCTACACGGAAGGTATGGGTTTATTTTCTTAAAAATAAATCCGATGTCTTTAACACTTTTAAGAAGTTCAAAGCTGCTGTTGAGAATGAAACAAATCTTAAGATTAAGTGTTTAAAGAGTGATAATGGGGGTGAGTACAGTAGCACAGAGTTTGTAGAGTATTGTGCTGAACAGGGGATCAGAATGCTGAAGACGGTTCCAGAAACACCACAGCAAAATGGTGTTGCAGAGAGGATGAACAGAACACTGAATGAGAGGGCCAGGAGCATGAGATTGCATGCAGGACTTCCAAAGATGTTCTGGGCCGATGCGGTGAACACAGCAGCATACTTGATCAACAGAGGACCCTCATCTCCCATAGGTTTCAAAATTCCAAAAGAGGAATGGAAAGGTCGAGAGGTATCTCTTACTCACTTGAAAGTTTTTGGTTGTATTTCTTATGTCAAAGTTAGAGATGCAGATAGTGACAAGCTCGAGGCAAAGGCAAAGAAGTGTATCTTTATTGGTACGGGATGGATGACATGGGCTACAGGTTCTGGGACAACCACAGCAAGAAGGTTATCAGAAGTAGAGATGTCACTTTCAACGAGAATGCCCTGTATAAAGATGGTCTTGCAGCAGAAACTAGCAAAGCCAAGCAACCAGAAAACAAGCAACAAGTGGTGTTTGACGGGATGACTGAAGATGACATAGCACATCCTGTTGGTTGTGATGAGACAACAGGAGGTTCAGGGAGCAGTGGGAGCTCAGGAGATACAGGAATGTCTGAAGATAGTGGGAGTGATGAAGATGGTGAAAATTCAGAGGCAGCTACTCCTCAAGTCAGACAGTCCACCAGAATCAGAAGACCTCCTAACAGATATTCTCCTTCAGCAAATTATCTGTTGCTGACCGAGAATGGAGAGCTAGAATCTTACTCAGAGGCGCTGACCATGAAAGATTCCATACAGTGGAAGAAGGCCATGGAGGATGAGTTAGATTCACTTGACAAGAACCAAACTTGGTCCTTAGTCAAGCTACCACCGGGAAAGAAAGCTCTGGAGAACAAGTGGGTGTTCAGAATCAAAGATGAAGCAGATGGAAGCAAAAGATACAAGGCAAGGTTAGTTGTCAAAGGGTTCCAACAGAAGAAGGGAGTTGATTACAATGAAATCTTCTCTCCGGTTGTGAAGATGACTACTATCAGGTTGATTCTTGGTATCGTTGCTGCTGAAAATTTGCACTTAGAGCAGCTGGATGTAAAGACTGCTTTTCTTCATGGCAGCCTTGAAGAAGACATTTACATGGCTCAACCGGTAGGTTTCTCAGTGTGTGGTAAGGAGAAGTTGGTGTGCAAACTCAAGAAAAGTCTATACGGACTGAAGCAAGCTCCTAGACAGTGGTACTTGAATTTTGACAGTTTTATGCAGCGGAATGGGTACACTAGATGCAAGATGGACCATTGCTGTTACTTGAAGAAATTCGAGTCTTCATACATTATTCTTCTTTTGTATGTTGATGACATGTTGGTGGCTGGAGCAAACATGCAGGAGATCAACAAGCTCAAGAAGAAGTTGTCTGAAGAATTTGAGATGAAGGATTTAGGGGAGGCGAGACAGATTCTTGGGATGAGCATAGTCAGAGACAAGGTGGAAGGTACTTTAAAGCTTTCACAGCAGAAGTACATTCAGAAGGTCCTTGAGAAGTTCAGAATGACGGATGCCAAGCCAAGGAGCACACCGTTAGGGAGTCAGTTGAAACTCTCCAAGCAGCAGTCTCCGAAGACCGATGAAGACAAAGATGAGATGGCTAAAGTTCCTTATGCATCAGCAGTTGGCAGTTTGATGTATGCAATGGTGTCAACAAGGCCAGACATTGCTCATGCAGTGGGAGTTGTTAGCAGGTTTATGTCAAATCCAGGGAAGGAACATTGGGAAGGAGTCAAGTGGCTGCTACGCTACTTGAAAGGCACCTCTAGAACTGCTCTTTGTTTCAGGAGGAATGGGGCAATTCTAGAAGGTTTTGCAGATGCTGATTTGGGGGGCTGTCATGATTCCGGGAAGAGCACTACGGGTTACATATTCACTATTGGAGGTACGGCAATCAGTTGGATGTCCAGATTACAGAAGAGTGTAGCTCTTTCAACCACAGAAGCAGAGTATATGGCTATTGCTGAAGCGGCCAAGGAGATGATTTGGTTGAAGAACTTTCTTTCGGAGTTGGGCATGGAACAGGGGGATTGTGGTCTGTACTGTGACAACCAGAGTGCTATTCATCTCGCGAAGAATCCGGTGTTTCACAGCAGAACGAAACACATCAAGATGAGGTATCATTTCATTCGAGAATTGATTGAAGATGGTACTATAAATTTGAAGAAGATCCTTGGTACGAAGAATCCAGCAGACATGCTTACCAAGGCGGTGACAACGGAGAAGTTGAAGCTATGCATGGCTTCAACGGGCCTTCCAGATACTTGATGAGAAGGTGTGGACGAGAGAGAGAGAGAGAGATCAGGGGTTTTACAGAAGATACATGTTCTTGGATGGCAGATGATTGTTGACCAAGCCTCCAAGTGGGAGATTGTTGAAGATGGAGTCTTGTTCAGAATTTCAGAACTGATACCCGACCGGGTCAGATGAAGGACCCGACCGGGTATGATGAACCAGAGACCTGGGAACTCACTAGAATGTGAGACCCGACCGGGTCAGGTGAAGGACCCGACCGGGTCAGATGTTCGGTGACTTTCTGTTTTGGAAACCCGACCGGGTCAGGAGACGGACCCGACCGGGTCAGAGAAGTTTTCACCTTCTGCTTTGGATACCCGCCCTGGTATCAGCCCGGGTTGAATTTCTGTGAAGAGACCCGACCGGGTCAAAAGTCGGACCCGACCGGGTCTACGGGAAATTTAATTACGGGCTTGTTTTTTAATTAGGGCCTGCGGCTCTAATCTCTGTTTAGGTTTCCTTAAACCTATTTAAACGACTCTTATGTACTTGTAAACCTCTTGGGACGTTGATAATAATACATCCTCTCTCTCGTTCGCCGTGGACTAGCGTAATCACCCCGATTGCGTGAACCACGTTAATTCTTGTGTTCTTGCTCTTAATTTATCGTTTATCTTTGCCTAATCGTAACAGAGGGGGTAATTACTAACACCTGTTAACACTTACTAACACCCGTTAACACTTCCTAATTTCTCTCCCAAACAAGTGTTAATATCAACACTTCTCAACACTTCCATTACTAACACTCCCTGACACTTGATCCAAACACAGCGTTAAAGTCTCTGATTAGAAGTAATTCTTTGGATTCTATCTTTAGTAATTCACTCGTTCTCACTCAATTCATAATTCATAATTCATATGGATATCATTTTTTTCTTGCATGTTATTCCACTCAGCTCGCTTAACTTTCAGCATATTACTTCACGCATCATACTTTCACAATCTAGTTTTTTGATTTTTTTGATTGTATGATGCAGGGAGCCTGGACCGATGAAAAAACAAATTCTACTCAACCCTGGTATAATAGCGATTTGATTTTTTCTTGATCTTTATGGGGGGCCAAACAATCTTTTGAAGTAATATTTACAATTGTTGCCTCACAAGATTGAACAAGCACTTAATATCTCATTTCTCTTGTCATAGCAATGATCTTGTGCTCTATGTTGGAGGTTCTGTTAGGGGTATAGATTGGTGTCCCACATCATCTAAGGACTCCGAGTGTCTTTTCCAAAGTGAGGTACATAGACTATTTTTTATTTACTTTAATGATAAGTATATGGTTTCGTTTTCTGTGCCCCAGTTATAAACAAATAACAATACGATAAGAGGGCTCTATTATTCTTTTCTTGACAAGCTGTTTTCATAATTGTATCTTCTTTAATTGATTGTGTAGTTCATTGCCATTGCTGCTCATCCTCCTCAATCTCCATATCACAAACTTGGTACTCCACTCACGGGTAGGGGTGCTGTTCAGATATGGTGTTTATTGAATTATAAACCAAAAGATGTGAAGGGTGAAGGAAATCAAATCAAATCATCCAACAGTCCAATAAAGCTAAGAGGAAGACCCAAGAAGAAGCTGCCAAATGTGTCACTAGATGATAAGCATGGTGACAATGAAAATGTGCAACCTCTTGTTACTGAATACCCTGGAGAAACATCCACATTTCACAATACGATGAGTGCGTCTTGTGAAAACATTAACAAATTCCATGGAGATAACTGACCATAGGCAATTACCGTTGAAAGGTGTAAGTGCTTCAAATTAAAACAAAGATAGACTATTCCAAAGGATGTTGCATTACCTAGAATGGTGTTATGTTTGGCTCACAGTGGGAAAGTTGCATGGGACATAAAGTGGCGACCAAATTAAAAGGTTTTTCTTCATCCGAATCTAGACAGAGAATGGGGTATCTTGCTGTTTTGCTTGGAAGTGGAGCTTTAGAAGTGTGAGTATATTGTCGTGGATTATTTTTTTTTTGTTAGTTGATTATTGAATTTGATTTGCATCTTACAAGTCAATTTGATTGGAAGAGTAATTCAAGACTTTTACGCCCTCTGCATTTTAATGTTTTCTCTATTTTTCTATTTTACTTTACATTTTCTCTTTTGTACTTTTCTGTCTTTTCTCCTATATTTCCACACTATATATTATCCAGGGGCAGACTTATATTGTTCAAAGGTGTTCATGTGAACATCCAAAATTTTTAACACAAAAATGTAAAAATACATCTATAAAATTGATGTAATAAGTTATATATTGTATATTAATGTAATATTTCTTGCTTTAACCTTATTCATTGGGTTTTTAATGTTGGAAAAATTACATTTCTAAATTGTTGGACCAAGTATTATTAGTGTGTGGTAAGTAAAATTATTTTGAACACCCTATATTTAGCGACAAGATCCGCCACTGATATTACCCTATTATTTCCTCTTTAAATATTGTGCATAAGCTTAATGTAGTGATCTTTTAAATACGAATGAGCTATATACTAGTTTCTTATTTAATGTTTACCCGATGGGACATAAATTCTTCAATGTTCCACTTTAGGAGCAAACAATTTTTTATTTTTCCATCTCATTGGCGCATTAACCCTTTGAAATCTAATATCTTATTTGAACAACGCAATTTTTTTCATGAAATCACTTACTCTCAATGTACAGCACTTTTTTGGACTACGACAGATTTTATTGCTCATATTAAACTACCTCATTAAGGCTTAAATTCTATCCAAAAAATATGAGTAACTTAAAATGTTATATGATGGTTTGGTCATTTATGTTTAGCTGGTTGAGACAAGGTTTTCAACCGTTATTCTAGTACTTGTGTTTCATGATATTATTTCTTATAAGCTAACTACGTTATAGATGGGAAGTCCCTTTTCCTCGATTAATAAAACGGATTTATTCACCAGACATGGAGGAGGAGGGTACTGATCCTCGATTTGTAAAGTTGGAACCTGTGTTTAGATGTTCAAAGTTGAAATGTGGTGAAAGGCAAAGGTACATCATTCTTAGTTGTTGGTGATAATTCATACTCTGATATCAACTACTAGTAAGATACATGAGTCCACAAATTGATAAATGTTTTATATGTTTATTCATATTGTTACTAATTTATAGATTTTCTCCTGTTATTTTTACATTTCACAGCATTCCTTTAACAGTGGAGTGGTCCATGTCACTCTCACACGATGTGATTTTAGCTGGATGTCATGATGGAGTGGTATTAGCTATGGGGCTCTCATTCTGTCTCTTTTCATTGAAAAAGTTCTTTCTAATTTAGAATAAGAAACATTGGTGGTCAATACAGCCTTCAATTTTGCGTGCTCTTGATAAGTTCTCTTCGGATCTGTTTCTGAGTATTTTGCATTATTTTTTTTGAAAATGAAAAGTTTATCTTATTCCACTTCCATCTGCGAAGTTTTCATCTAGCCCAGCATTTATAAGAAGTATCCTTTGTTTACGAAGAATCAATTGATGAAGTAATAACTTCTCTTTCAGGTTGCTTTATGGAAGTTTTCTACCACAAACTCCTCTAAAGGTATCTCTATTGCATTTTTTATCTTTACCTAATTTCAGTTTCACGGGAAGCTATTTTTTTTTAGTTTCATGAAAGTAATGAATTGTGGCTACTGAATCCATTCTTGTATGGAGACACAAAGCCTTTGCTTTGCTTCAGTGCAGATACAGCTCCCATAAGGGGTCACTTGCTTGGGCACCGGGTGAGAGGTCAGTAACTAGTATACTAGGTACTTCTCAGTAATTAGATGACAGTGTTTATCTACTCTTTTTTTCAACTATCATTATGATGAATTGATGAATTTATCTACTCAGTAATCAGATGTTTTCTTTTGGACTGTTTTCAGTCCCACATCAGACCAGACCAGATCAGAATAGACCAGACCAGATCAGAATAGACCAGACTTCCGTAGTTATAAAATACTCAGAGATCAGACGTTTACTAGACCAGTTCAGACCATCAAATTTCAGTCCAAAAGAAAACATCCTACTTCTTATTATTTGATTATATGTTTATTTTTCATGTCAATGAAACTATATGGCATAATGATAAATTTGCACCAATTGTGAGAGGGAAAATATCATCATCACTGCTAGCCACAAGGGTTTGAAGTATTGGGACTTACGGTAAGTCGGTAATTATGCTTATAAATTTTACTTGCAGTTTGTATTTTTTTCTTTCATTTTGCTTCAATTGGAATGTATACTCTAATGGATCCTTTCAAGTTCTAACTAAATTCTTATTTAACTTTTTTCTGCTGTAATTGCATTATCTTTTAAAAAGTCAAAATATGTAGTTTCACGATACATTCTTTTGATGACCTAATACTTGTTCTGAAGTGATCCATTTCAACATTTGCGAGAATACAATCCTGGTCAAGGAGTGTGTATATAGTTTGGATTGGTTACCAGATCCAAGGTTTGTGATATTCTCTTAATCGATTTGGTTGATATAAATAATACTTTCCAAATTTAGTCTCTCTCATTCAAATTTGATTGTCAACGGTGAAGGTGTATTTTGGTAGCTTGTGATGATGGAACCGTAAGAGCATCTCTAATGTTATAATGTCAACATTAATGTCAACATTAGACGGTCTCTTTGACATTGTGGAGAAAAATTTACCAAAACTGTATAAAATCATTCAAATAAGGAGAGAAATAATTTATTTACTAATATTTATGTGGTCATCTCGCATGCCACGTGTGCACCGTGCACATTGTACCATTGAAGATGCTCTAAGGATTCAGAGTCTGGTAAAGGCTACCAATGATTTCCATCTGTCCGGAAAACTAGGGGTGGGCGCGGTCCGGAACGGTCCGGTAAATTAGTAAAACCCGTAATGTATCAGTGAGGTTTTAACGGTCCGTTACGGTCCGGTTTCAAGGATGGAACCGTTCGGTACCATGTCGTTTCGGAACGGTACAAAACGGTACGGTACAATGCCAAACACATGCTAAAAAATTTGAACAAATCTTGCAATTATTAGATATCATCACACCAACCAACTCACATGAAGTGTTGATATAAATACAAGAAATTGCATATATAGGACTAAAATTCACAAATAAACAAATAGTGCAACACAACTAAGAAAGAGTATATCAAAACGATGATAAACGAGATAAATATCATCCTTAATTTACTTAGTTCATGTGAAAATATAAAAAAAATATCATCAAATTGTTGAATATAATAGAAATCCTCAACGTTGATCTTCTTCTTCATTCTAGGTTAAATATTACTCCGTAGTTCTAATTCAATTTATAGTTGAACCTTGAGAGCTAAGATTTAAACCATATTAATTAAGTTGTAAAATTGCACAAACATGATACAACAAAAAGTCATGTACGCTAACATTACTAGAAATGAAGTCATTAATGATTTCTCTAAAATTTTAATATTCTTTCAATACATACCAAAATATAACATAAATTATCTAAAAAGAAAAAATAACAATATATACGGAGTATATTATATACTTCGTATATAAACACCCACATTTAGCTATTTTAAAGACACATAAATACATACGTGGACTATAAAATTGTTGGTGTATAAAAGAGTTCTATTGAATTGGTATAGAAAAAATATAAAAAATTCAAGTGCATTATTTTCAAACGGTTCGGTCCGGTATTTTTCAGTTCTCAAAATCTAGGACCGGTCACGTACCCGTTTCAAACGTTACAGTTTCGGTACGGGACAAAAATATATAGAACCGTTTAAATACCCGGTATTCGGTTCGGTACCATTACGGGACGGTTCGGTACCGGTTCGGTTCGGATTTTATGCCCACCCCTACGGAAAACCACTCACCATATCTAAACAACACGGATTTCACACCTATATGCGATCTTCTTATGCACTATGGAGTCTGCAAGCTTCATGGCTAACAGGTTGCTTCTCTCTTACTTAAAGATGTATCATGGTTTTATAATCTTTTATTGGGTTTGAATCCCCTGTCCCATTTGTCCCACTTGTCCTATCTCTTTGGCGTAACATTTATTCAGTTTGATCTATATCTATTAATTAATAACTTCAAGGAGTTTTCATTAGCTATTATCATGCTTTTATGGAATACATGATTGGGAAAGTGAAAAAGAAATTTACAAACCACTAACCTCAATAATAACTCTTTTGAGTTGGTACATTCATTTAACATGTCAAAGCGCAGCTGCTTGACACACACCATTCAAATATAATATAATGAGACATTATAACACAAACTATTTACAATTTTACATGTAAATCTGTAGAGTACTCCCCTATCATTGAGGAATATGTGTCGTGTTTTGGGGATGATGAGAAGAAGTTCCGAATTACAAATTATTATTTAACAATATGATCCTGACACGTCTCAACTCTCAATACTACAACAAGAACATCCTCACCTTAGTCCCAGGTGAATTTAAGATCAACTTACATGAATTGACTTATGAAATCGAAGCTAATAAGGATAATTATTAAAAGATAAAATAAAGATAAAATGATAAAGAACATGAGAAAAATAAAACATGGGAATTAGAAATATAATCATATGATGTATAAATGCTTAGTTGTGGTAAAATAATGCTCCTACAAGAAACCCAAGATCCATATCCCAAAGCGCAGTTTATATAACTTTGAGTTTACAAAATTCACGATGCTTCAAAGAGCCATTGTCTGGCGCAAACTCGTTTACAAGTTCTTGGATACTGTTATTGGATTTAACTTTTAGGATGAAAATAAACACATAAAAGATAACAAAAAATTACTTATACAATGAAACCACACCAATCAAGTATAATTATTAGAGACATGTATATAAGTTCGACTACTCCCTTGTGAATGAGAAGCCTGATAAGCCTTAATAATTGGCTCATATAGTTCATGGTTGCTATGATGATCATGAGAATATATTTATAGCAACTCTAGTAACTTTTTTTATTTATAAAATTTATTTCGAAATATTTTTAAGAAACCTATATTATTTATATATATATATACATCTTGCATAAAATACTAAGATAATTATCTTCTTTAAATTTGAATTGTTTGTGATTTTGGAGACTAATATTTGTGTTATTATTTGCAGTTTGTATTTTTGATTAATTTTATTTGAAAATAAGTGTTAAAATATAAAAGAACAATGACATATTTCACGTCCGGGCTTTAACCGGTCCAACCCGAACTCGGACCGAACCCGGGCTACCAAAAACCCGACTCGAACCGAATATAATGGGCTTTGTTCCGATCCCTAATTTTCATAACCCGAGACCTTCCGGGTAATTTCCAGGTTTAGCAAAAACCCGACCCAAACCGGACCGATCCCACCCCTAAATATTCCCCCCTCAAACTCAGCGTGATGAATTTGAGAAATCAATCACATTGAATTTGTCTTTCAACTTAAGAAATCTGGATGTGGCTAGTGGCTTGGTTAGCACATCAGCAATTTGATAGGAGGCAAGAATATGTTCAACTTGAAGCTTCTTGTGAAAGATCTTCTCTCTGATAAAGTAGAGATCAAGTTCTATATGTTTAATCCTGGAATGGAAGACATGATTATGTGCTAGGTGAATTGTACTCAGATTATCACAGTAGATTTGAGGAACAGAAAATGGAACTTGAATCTCTTGAAGAAGGTACTGAAGCCATAATATTTCTGCTGCAGTATCTGCTAGACTTATGTATTCAGCTTCAGCTGAAGATCAGGCAACACATAGTTGTTTTCTGGACCACCAAGAGATTAGGTTAGGTCCTAAAAATATGCAAGAACCAGGTGTTGACCTTCTATCAGATCATTAGGATCTGATGCCCAATCTTTTTTTTTTTTAAACCCAGAAGGCAAACCACCAAAATCAGTGGGGCAAATGCCGGGAAACATTTGCCAGATTTTATTGATTATTGAAAAAAAAAATACAAAGAGAGAGGGGGACAAGACCAAAACCTCTCTAGAAGGCATCCCTTCCGTAAATACATTAAAGTAACGACAAATTTAAATGAAAAAAAAAACTGCAACCGACATGGGGGGACCAAACCTTACCCATGCCAAAAACAAAAGGGAAAAGGGGCAAATAAGCCCTCGAACTAATAAAAAAAGTGCAAATAAGCCCTTTTGTAGGAGGTTCTGTCCGATCATCATCATTTGGAGAGGTTCTCGGTGGAATTTTTTGATGAATTTTTTTGAGCATCTTCTTCATTAAGTCTAGTTTAGCCATACCAAATTTCAGCTAAAAATTCAATCGGGAAGGCACTCAAATGATTTTCGGAACTACACTGCGTTGTTTAACTGCGCAGTTATCTTAAAAAATTCATTTGACTGCCTTCCCGGTTGAATTTTTAGCTGAAATTTTGTATGGGTAAACTAGACTTAATGAATAAGATGCTCAAAAAATTTCATCAAAAAATTCCACCAGGAACCTTCCCAAATGACGATAGACAGACGAAATCTCCTACAAAAGGGCTTATTTGCACTTTTTTGATTAGTTCGAGGGCTTATTTGCGCCTTTTCCCAAAACAAAATAAATGCCAAGAAAATTAACAATATCTAATCAGCATCACAGAATGCTAGTAGCTGAGTAGGTGACCTTGATGTATGAGGTTTAATCTGAAGACCATGTTTAAGTGTACCAGACTGCCTTCTAGTTTTCATCTAAAGGAGATGCCATGAAATGACATGCTTTGTTTACTGCAAAGCTGATCTCTGGTCTTGGTAAAGTAACATGCTGAAGAGCTCCTACAATAGATTTGTAATGAGTAGGATCAGCTAAATAGTTGCTTCCCTCTTTGCGTAGTTTGCAGCTACTAAGCATAGGTAACTTGCAGTCTAGATATATTCCTAATAGTGATAGATGGCCTCATTGGCTCATTATGATGCATCGTGTAGTTATTAGAAATTACTTCAAATAGAACTTAAACTATGACAAAAATTCAAAATAGGACTTGCTGTGTTTTTTATTCCAAAAAAATAGGACCATATTGGTCTTATTGGAAACATACCTATTTCTTCATTCCATTCTTACCCCTCCTTTAAATATGAGTAAAATATAGTCAAAAGTCATAATTAAATGTTTAATTCATAATAAATTCGAAAAATTTCAAGAATTCGTAGAAAAATAAAAAAAATTAACAAAATTTACAATAAAATAAAAATTCAAAAAAATGTTTTTTTTTTAATTTTTTTTAATTAATAAAAAATAGTAAAACTCCATAAAAAATTAAAAAATATAGGGATGCCTTTCCCACCGTCTGACTACCTCCCTGCATCACCACCTCTGATCGGTGTAAAAAATGCCACTTTTTTTTTAAATTCCAAAAATATGACATATTACTCTATGAGAATGTCAACATTTTCATTCTGTCAACTTGAATCCTTTTGACTTCTTCCATAAATATGGCATTCGTAATATTTTTGGCATTCTTTTCCCCCGGTGACAGGAGGTGGTGGTATTGCCTCCCTGCACCACCACCTACGCCCGTTAAAAAATGTCATATTTACTAAAAACTCCATTTTCTCTTGAAAATGCCAAAAAAAATGGCATATTTCTCTTTGAGAATGCCAACTTGAATCATTCTGCCAACTTGAATCATTCTCACTTCTGCCAAAAATATGATTGAATTTGTCATTTAGCATTTAGCACTTCTGCCATAAATTTGTTCAGACTTTAGCAAGTGAGAGATACTACACTCTATTTTCGTACTACGCAGTTCAAAGTTCTAATAGTTATTACCCCCTCTATTTGTGTAGTTCCAAAACGGGCTACAGGAGAAAAACTCATTTGAACTTTCGAATTGTAAAGCGGGTGATAAATGGCCTCATGATGACACATTCTGTATTTTTATGTTTCTTTTTTAAATTAAGAGATGGTGGCATATTGCGGTGCTGATGGGACTGTTACCTATTTCCAGGTACTTCACTCATCATGGTACTTTTCAGTGCTCAAGAGTAGTGATTTGTATACTTATTGCACCCATTTATGTTGCTACTGCATAATGAATGGATAGGAGATATGTTATTTATTTTGTTTATTATTGCAAGTATAATCAGTTAACTAAACAAGTCGAGAGCGACGCCATCAGATATCGAACTCCACATTTTCTTTGTGGATCATTTGCGGAGGTAGAATCTGTCATTACAGTAATCACACCAACGCCTAATATCCCATTCCGGATGATCAAGACAAACAAGTGGACAGATTTGTTGAGAGTTGTACGCACTTCTGCATCAGGACCACCCAATGAAGAAAAATCAACAAAGGAGGGTGAATTGAGAAGCCTCCCTTCATCAGATAAACAACTAGGTAACATTTTGTCTACACTTGCATTTAAAGGAAGAACTTAGTTTTAGACTTCACATTTGAAGAGTGATGTAATCTTTTTTTTTGTCCCGGTTGGAGACCAAGAAAGCGTACAGACTTTCTTGGGGTAGGGGCCAGGGAACACCCTACCAGTTTATTTATGAATGAAAACATAAATAAACAGGCGACTCACAAGAACAAACAGGCGCCTAAATTAAAAGCAAGCGACATTAATGAAACAAAAACTACTCAACCATTGCCCTTCAGTGGCGAAGTAGATGGATATGAACTGCCTTCCAAGAGTGTAGCAATCCACAGGGTGAGATGGAAGGCAGTGAGAGGTGGTTATGCTATGGAGGAGCACCCGGAATTGTTCGCTGCCAGTGGATTGGCACGCCCACTTACTATTGATTACATGCTTATAAAAACCTTCTTTTTAGATCATCACAGAGGACGACATCCTCCATTTGACCTCCAAATAACACTGACTAATATGTTTGCTCTATTTGATACTGTGTATTATTTGTAGAAGCTTTTTAATACATCAGTTTAAAATGTGAATAATTAGTTATACATTCTTTTAACTTTCATATTAGCCTTAAAATCTAAATGTTTATTTACTAGACAATAATTTATTTACGTAGAATGGTTTCGGATAAGGGTGGGTATGGGTCGAGATTAAGGTTATCCCGGTGCCAACTTAATTAGTAGTAACAGTATGGTTTAGGACAAGTCTTTGTCTTAGTCTTGTCTGATTTGAATTGAGAGCGGGATGATTCAGAAAGGTTCGTGATGTCCCAAACTAACAAGAGTATTATACAAAAAGTCATCATTTGCAATTAAAATATATTAGCATTTTTAAAGTATCATACACCAAGTAATCACACACGAAAAAAGAGGCGACTGTTTCTCCCTCTAGTTAGGGTTTTAGCTCTTTTGCCGATATGATCGATTGGACGACTCTTCGGTTTGGGGTTTCTCCTTGCGATGAGATTCTTGGTGCAAACAAGAAGCAAAGACAACAATAGCGAGATGATGACATCATTGTGTGAAGGTCATAGACGAAGCTTGGGGTTAAAAGCTAGAACAGATCTAGATGCAATCAAGGTCATCTGTGATTGGTGGCGAAAGTGGAGGTTTGACAGAGAACATGATGAATAAGAGGCATTGTGAGGAAGATCTTACGGTACTGCTGACTCTTCCCTCTCTTCAATCGCCACCATGGAGTGTTGGAGGATTTAAGATTCGAAGAAAATGAGGGAACTCTGTTTTTATTCTGTTTTATTTGGGAAAAGGGTCAGATAAGCCATTGTACTTATATAAAAATGTCAAATAATCCCTTATACAGGAGGCTCTGTCTGGCCGTCTCCATTTGGGGTGATTCCCGGTTGAATTTTATGATGAATTTTTTAAACATCTTATTCATTAAATCTAGTTTACTCATACCAAATTTTAGCTAAAACTTCAATCGGGAAGGCATTCAAATGAATTCTTGAAGATAAGTGGAGTTTTTTCGAATTAATGCTAATTAATTAATTAATTACGCAAATAATGTTGGGTTAATAATATTTACCGATCTACTGCTGGATTTAACCAGGGTCGGAGAAAGTCACCAAACCGTTTGGCGACTTATAAGTCGCCGAACCGGATGGCGACTTACAAGTCGCCAAACTGTTTGGCGACTTACCCCCTGCACCTGCCAAACCAAAAACAGCCAGTTCCCTACCAATTTAGAACATAAAAAACTTGCTCACAAAACACATACATCACCAGTAACATACAAGTTACAAATAACATACAACACATAAGATTGATAACCAATAAAACACATACAGACATTCAATATATATAACGAAACACATCAACGCATCATAAACAAAGGAATAAGTACTAATAACACAATATTCAATTGTTTGGAGGTGGAAATACGTAAATATAAAGTCAATTGTTTCTACAACATTCAGTGTACATGAAAAACTCCAATACAAAAGACAAACTACAAGTTCTCATGGTCTTCTTGATCGTCTTGGTCATGGAGATGTTGTTGATGCCTACGTCGTTGTTGTGGTTGAAGAACAACTCTGTCATGCTTAGTTTGGGATGTAGAAGACCTCGCTGCACTAGATGTCAATGGCATAGAATCCTGAGATGGGAGCATGTATAAGATGGTCGTAGTCGACTCGCCTCAACACATCTGAACACAAGGAAGCAATGCCCGTTAGAGCCTGACCATACATTTCCACGTCATGCGTATCACTCATTGTTATCTTCAAGAATTCATTTGAATGCCTTCCTGATTGAATTGTTAGCTAAAATTTGGTATGAGAAAACTAGACTTAATGAATAAGATGCTCAAAAAATTTCATCAAAAAATTCCACCGGTAACCGTCCCAAATGGCGACGGATAGACAGAGCCTCCTATATAAGGGCTTATTTGACCTTTTTATATAAGTTTGAGGGCTTATTCGACCATTTTCCCTATTTTTTATAATACTTTAATTTAAATAACAAAGCTACATACCATATTTAAAAAGGATGTGTTAAATATTTAAATCTTCTTTTTATAAATTGTGAAGAACTATTGAATTTAATTTGTAAATCTACAACAACATTTTGATATAGCAAGTTTTAACAAAAACTTAATAAGTTAAACTCTAAATTTAAATAGAAGAAAAATAACAAAATAATAGCAATTAATTATCTAACAAGTTAGCTCTTAACAATTTACAAACCAATAATCCAACAATTGAAAAATGTTTGTGTATATATTTATATATAGGTGTTTGAAAATTTGGGCCCCTAATGTTTTTACATTTTCTGGTCCCTAAGGCCCATGCCTCACAGACCTCAACATTAGGCACGGCCCTCTGTGCTAGACAGGAAAGCAGGCATTGCGGGAGGTTGGGCGGGATATGGGTGGTGTTGGGTGGTCGCTGGGTGTCCACATCACTAAGGCGCCTGGTTCATTGAGAAATCATATGGTTTAATTTGTTGCAACAGTTTAAGGAAGGGTAGTAACTATTGTGGCGGCGGCGGCAATCACCGTTGCGGGGGTGGCAGAGCTAGTGAGGCAAGGCTGCTATTTTGGCGGTGGGAATAATGTTTCTGGATGGAGATGTTGGAAATTAGTGACGGTGATGGGATGGGAGGACGGAAACGGTTAAAAATTATGTCACTGGTGATTGTAACTGTGACTACTTAGCGCTACTAATGGGAGGTGGTATGTAACTGGAGTGGTAGTAATTAGGACGGTGATAACTGGAGGAGTAACTGAGACGGTGGTCACTATAGCAGTAGTAACTGAGACGGAGTCACTGAAACGGTAGTAACTGAGACGGTGTCACTGAAACGGTAGTAACTGAGACGGTGTCAATAGAGCAGTCGTAACTGGGATAGTGACCTGGATCTGTAATTGTAAATGACTAAATGGGACGGTGGTCCGAATAGTTGTCACATAAATTTCATATCCAAATTTCTATTTGCAGTATAAAATTAAATTAAAAAACATTAATTTATAGACTTATTATACAGTGAATGGTTATGGGTTGCATTGAAAATTTGAAATATTATTTTAAAAAAAAAAAGAGTAATATAGTGTATTTTTAAGCATTGTTAATGTAGTATGCTATGTGTACCTTCCAAGTTGATTCGGAAGTTGATGAGGAAGGTTGGTGTTGTTTATAGGTGCCTTGATGTAGTTTCCAATTTTATTACCCGCTGAATAAGTTTTTTGTCTTTTTATAATTGAACTCACTTTTGTGGAAATGGGCCTCTTAATAGTAATATTAGTGTCCTTTTCCCAAATTGGATTTGTGCGCAATTCAAGTGTCGAAAAGAAAATAAAATTTGGGAAATTCTATTTACAAACCCTCATTTACTAAAGGGAAAAGGGGCAAAAAAACCCCTTCAAGTTGTCACCAAAGGGTATCTAAGCCCTTAAACTATTTTTTTATGCAAAAAACTTTAAAAGCAATGAAAGAAGGGCAATTACACCCCCTTACTAACGGTGAAGCCAACCCAAGTTGTTTCTTTGTTGGTTGTTATGAGTTATGACCGTGTGTAAGCAAAATTTTAACCTGCTACTATTTTTAATATTTTTTCTTTTAATTTGAGCTTGTACTCTATTAATGATATAAATTTAGACTACTTTGGTCCTAAAATCAGGACATATTTCCTCTCTTTTTAAATAAATGCTATATGTTGAATTTTACAATATACACATGCTCTACTTTAACTACGATTTATTTATTAAGGTATTAATAAGTTATTATTTTTTTGATTTTTTATTATTAGAGAATTAGAGTTGCCTTGTCCATGAATTAGTTTTCAAATTTTATGGTTCGTCAGTCTCAAAATAATTTTTTTTGCAAAGAATTTGTGCTTCATTATATGTTTTACACGTTGTTACATGTTTCTCTCTTTTCAGTACAACTCTTCACTACACAATTTTCTCTTTCTTCATTCCCATGCAAAATCAACTTTGGAAGACAATTCAGGGACAGATAAAGTATATACTAATGGTCAAATTTATGCATTGAAAAATATGAAATGTGATGACACTTAAGAACGAGAGAAGAATTACGCAGCTGTCAATTTATCATGATATAACAAATACATGATATTCATTAAAAAAAACATATACACTACAAATTAATTGGTTTAAAGATAATCCAAGGAACACAATAAACACTCAATGATCTTAATCACATGCATCGATATTGGTTGCGATCTGATGCATGTGCCGCCGTTACTTTCATCGTGGATTTCCTCCGTGATTCGGAAACACACCGGTATAACGGCGTGATGCGATTGTGTCTCTGTCCGTGACCCAAGAAAAATTATACTACCTCCGTCCCTTTTTATTTAGCCATCTTTGACTTTTCCAGTCAAAGGTGATTAACTTTGATCCATTATTTTAATTAAAATATTTATGTAAAACATAACAAATTTATACTATTATGATAGTGTTTTCAACAAAGAACATTTTCATATAATTTTCATATTATCAATATTATCGTGTATAAATATATAATCGGTCAAAGTTGAACAACTTTGACTTGAAAAAAGGTGTTTGGCTAAATAAAAAGGGACGGAGGGAGTACTACACTTCAGCTTGATTCGGTTTGAATTTGTTACGTTTTAAAAATGAAATAAAAAGCTATTGATCTTTTTTTACTTAGTTCGATTCGCTTTTATTCGGTTTTCAAAAATATATGGAACATTAAGAATTTAGTGAAATTTTCGTATCACATCACTAGTGCTATCACGTTTATTGGGCTCACTGGATTATCTTTTTAATCGATATTTGTTATATGTTATTCATGATAAATTGACAACTCCGTAATACTTCTTCCATTCTTAAATAAGTGCCAAAATTCACTTTTCATATTTGTCAATGCATAACTTTGACCATTAATATATAATCCAATCGTCCTTAAATAATCTTACAAAGTTGGTTTTTGATGAGAATGAAGAAAAGAAAAAATGTGTGGTAGAGCGTTGCACTAAAGAGAAAGAAATGTATAAGAACATGTTGTGAACTACAAATTCTTTGAAAAAAAAGATTATTTTGAGAATGAAGAAAA